CCTGGTGAGCTGAAGACAAAGCTTGGTAGGTCGCTTGGTGGCAAGACCCTTTGAAACGTGGGGGCGTATTGCATCTGCAGCGCGTTTGCAGCTTCCATAGACGTTCTTGTTGGGCCCTCAGCCGTCTTGAGTGGAGGAAATCCTTGCCTCACCTTTCGTAGGCCATTAACGTGCTTGTACAGCAGTTTGTGGTCAGCACTGAAGGTTTTTGCGATGTTCTGCTGATAGGCGGCTTTGTCTTCTCTTAACAGTTGAGTGCAGTGGTTACGTTGGGCTACGTAGTTGTCCCACGTTTCTGGTGCTGGAGCTTCTCTGTACACTCGCCATGCTGCATTGCGTACTGTCATCCATTTTCGGGTTCTGTTCCTAACGAAAGAAACTGATTTGCACTTACTGCAAGCTTTTATCTCTGAAGCCTGTGCAATCAGCTGACTGAATGTGTTGACGAACTCGAGCCAGGCGAGTTCTGGGGGTTCTTCTTCGAGGAAAGACCATGTTGTGGCGCCGACTAGCTGGGCGAGTCGGTCGTACCTTGTGATGGTTCGCACAGTCTCATCTTTATCATTCCGATATTCTGCATAGCAGACGAAGTTGAAACTGATGACTGCGTGATCACTGCGACCCAACGGGCAGTCTAAAACCAACGCATCAATCATATGCTCTTCGTTGGTAAGCACAAGATCCAACACAGATGGCCGGTTACCAGTTCTGAACCGAGTGGGCAAAGTGATGTGGTTGTAAAGAGGAGCAGTAGTTACTAGATCTTGTAAATGGATTTTGAATTGTTCGCCGGTTGTGGCAGGGGCTTCTAAACAATGTACGTTGAAATCACCCATGATAAGAATGTGAGTGTACTTTGGTTGTAAACTGCACCTTAAAGCAGCCATTAGGTGTTAGTCGGTTTCGAGTGTTGAGTTAGGGGCGCGGTACACCAAGATAATAAGGCAAGCGTCCCTACCTTTTAACTGCAACCGGCACCAAAGAGAGTCGGGGAACTGCGAATCTGAATCCTCCACGGCTTCGCACTGTAAGTCGTTTCGGTAGTACAGGATTACCCCTCCTCCTTTTGTGAGCCTATCGTTCCGGATCAACGACATGCCGGGTAGCGACACTTCAGCGTCCGTCATTCCCGTGTGCAACCATGTCTCGGTGATACCAATGACATCATACGAGCCGGAAGCTTGGCGATCTTTCAGTTCAGCCAGTTTGTTAGAAAGTCCCTGAGCATTTGTATACAAGCAGGCCAGTTTCTCGGTCTCTAGGAGCCCGCAGAGAGGTGAAGCTGTCAAGTGTGGGAGAATGCCGACCGATGGGAGGTCGGCAGTTATTCGTTATTTTGATGGGTCAATGATACCTCGTTTGCAACTTGATTCGGCCAAGGTGCGTCCCAGCCTTCGTTTAAACCTACTTCAGAGTCAAGTAAAGCAGCAGTCAAGTTACACTTCTGTACATCCGTCGGTATGCTTGCTGCTTCAGTTGCTTTAATACTTGAGCTGTGCGAATTGTTTGCGACCTTTAACCGAATTTCGGAAGGAAGATGTTTCCGATTTCTTCGCCATCGATCCAAAACATCCTTTGCTTGTTGCTCTGAGGGAACCACAAGTTTTAGGATTCTAGGTCCGCATCCTCTATAATTCGATGAGAGAGGTATCCTAGTGAGCGATAGTGCCACAACATCATCCAAAGAAAGTGTTTCACGAATGAACCGCCACTGTTCTAAATCGTGCTTTCCGGTATCTTGAACATGGTTAGAAGGATGTTCTGGCACTCCATGTATGAAGACTGTGTTTAGACGGTGTAGGGGAAAATAGGTCACCGATTTTGACCGAGGCGAACGGCACTCATGTCAAGAGAAGGGCTTACACAATCACCCGCTACGTACGCAGTTCGGTTACATTATCGTGACCACAATGTGGCCTGAACATCGTGTAATCGGCCCACTCCTCAGTAGTTGATATGTTGCAACAATAGGCTATAGATCTAGACTGGTTTTGCTGGGGGTCATTACAGTCTACGCTGATACAATAACGTGGCAGTTGCGAAAGCTAATAGAGAGACGGGCAAAGCTGGGACGCCGCCTACCTGCTTCATCCGACATGGTCCCATTGACCGAATCGGAAAAGGTTCCCTCTAATGAGAATAACGGTGCACATTGAGATTGCGCATCGCAATCCACTCACAAAATGATTGATACACAATTACGATTCGGACGTCCGATTTTCCAATTGTCACACACCTACACAGGTTGGTGCGTATGGGCGCTGCGCACCAACTAGGCGAATGTCAATGGGAAGAGGGGAGCGTAGTTCAGAACTTCGGTCGCTGCTCACGATCAAGCAAATATTTTACAGCGTAGCCCGCTGCTTACACAATGCCGGTGTATTAGCGTCATCACAATGTATATTCTGAACATCCTTCAGCAGTCTTACTGCTCGTTTCTTGCCAACAAATTGGCTAGTTGCTACTTAGATTGCAACGTGTCCAATTTGTTTTGCAAAATGTCCAGTTTGGTTTGCCAAATGTCCAATGTGGTTTGCAAAATGTCCAATGTGGTTTGCAAAAGGTCCAATGTGGTTTGCAATAAGTCCAATGTTGTTTTTGCAAAATGTCCAATGTGGTTTGCAAAATGTCCAATTTAATGTGAAAATGGTATATATTTCCCAGTTTCACCATGACCATTATACGATACTGTTGTGTATTCTGTCAGCATTCTTGACCTAGTCTAAACAGACCGGTGCACACAACCCCAGACACACACACACACACACACACACAAAAAGTCCAATTCTCTGCTTCCCTATTGGTTCATCATTCTCCTTGTGACACTTTTATGTGCTCACCCAGTTAGACATTGATCAGATTACAGCAGTCCGTTTATCAGAATGACCATTTAACTTGATCGTACGTTTTGACCTTACGTATACAACAGATACCTGTTAAACATTAGCTTTTTACTCGTACAAAACCATCGTTCCATTACTCTAGTGGGGAATGGGACAGGTATATTTTACATGCTGTTAGCACGTTGCAAAATTGGGGCATATTGGGACCGTAGCACGTTGGCTGCATCCACGACGGTTTGATCACACACCTTTGCTGATAGCAGATGAGGGAACACCACCTTTCACTCTCAGGAGATTGTTCAGATGTCTATACAGATGCATTTTTGTTAGCACAAAACTTTTCCGCCATACTCTACTGGGGTATTATTTTGTCCTCACACACAAGCGTGTTTGATTACGATGCACAACATAGTTACTCCAGTTGTCAGGGCTAGGGTTCGCTCTAAACACATGCCACGCTGCGTCTTTTAATGTCATGTATTTTCGGGTTCTGCTCCGAATGAATGATTTTTCTCCTGCAGTACGAAGAGGCTTATTGACTGTTCAGATCACTGAACTTGTCAGTATACTCCATCCAAGCACTGTCAATAATGCAGTCGTCCGAAAACTCCTAGCTGGCTCCTCCCACAAATTCTGCCAGTTTGTTGTAATGGATGATTGTTCGAAACAATTTAGTATGTTCTTGTGGATCCACCGCATAATACACTAAGTCGCAGCTTATTGTTACGTGGTCGCTCCGCACCAGAGTGTTCTCCAGAATTGGTTTCTCAACCATGAGCTATTCCTTCGTGAGCACTAAATCAAGCACAGATGGTTTTTTTTCCGGCTCTGAATCGGGTGGGTGAACTGTCATGTCTGGAGAGGGGAATGCTTGCAATGATCTCTTGCAAGTCTGCATTGAATAGACGTTTGGGGTGTGCCGGAACTTCCAGATCGTGAATATTAAAGTCGGCTGAGATGAGAACGTGACTGTATCGTCGTCGCAGAACGCTTCTAAAGCATAATGCCAGGCGAGAGTCCATCTCTGGGAGAACATTGGGGGATACTAATTAACTGCCAAAAGGCAAGTGTCGTTGCGTTTCAGTGGCAGACTGCACTGGAGTGACTCTATGATCAGCGTTTCCGGATAGGCCACCGGTTCATACTGCAGGTTGCTTCGGTTGTATAACATTACCCCCGCTCTTGCTAGGGCAATCGTTTCGGAGAAGGGATAAAATAACTGCTGACCGCCATCATCGCGCAAAACAGACTAATGTCCAAGTGTGTAGGTTGTTGCGGGCGCGAAATAATTCACAGAAATGGGCTTTTGTGAGTGTCCATGAATGATGTCTTAGTGATTCCCAGGTGTTGACGACGAACCATTATAGCGAAACCCTGTTGATAACGCTACTAATGTATGCCCGCATATAAGCTTACCGCTCTTCTGTCATCACTTACCTCTCGCGTCTTTTGCATGACCCCAACTCTGTCATCCTTGACTGAACCAGTCGACTTCAACTTGATTGTATTGTTTGTCTTTATCTACCCGTTCTGTGTCGTATCATTTTGCCACTGATTTGCTTTTCTGATACATTGTCGAGAACGGGTGTGTTGGAGCTGAATATTCACCCAAGCAGAGTACACAAAGCGATTTCTTGACTTTAATTGACTTGACATGACTTGACAGTCATATCTCGTAAGTTACGGTGTAACAGCATGTCACAGGCCGAGTTGCTCGTAAAGATACATGTGGAGGGCGAACAAAGTTTAATTATACTTAGGGCGAATTACGTAATAGACACCACCAGCGACCGATGCAAGCACTTCATCTCCACAAACAGTATACCTGGTGAACTTTGTAGGGGTTGGAAGCAGGTTTGCTGATTTATTGGTTGCGGTTTGCTGTGAGAATTGAGCGAGTACCATTCACCAGCTCATGAATGGGCGCAATATGTTCCGCGCTTCGATAGCCATCTCCTTTGTCGGCGATGGACAAGCGTCGATTGGCTCTTGGAAATATAGATGGAAGCGCGTGGAACGTTCCATCCCCTTCAGTGACAGAGGCCACATTAGTAATGTGGAGGGCTTTCTGATCCCAAGATTGATTCGCTTTTAGCTTCATATCAAGAGCAATTAGTTGGACGGACTGAAATAACGAACGGCCATAGAGCCGGTTGGTCACCAATTCAATGGCAACGAAGAGAAGAGAGAAAAAATGTTCGGTTTCAGACCACAATCTTTATCCAATCGCTTCCACGCTACGGAGGCTATCCAAAGTAAAAGATCGGATCTTGCTTCAAATCTCCTCGTCAGAAGCAGTCCAAAAAATGGAGGCCTTTGCGGCCATGATTTGCCTAGGGATAGGGTCGAGTTAAAAAGTGATGATTTTGGGCTACGCGACCAAGTGAACTCAGGTGAGATGGGTTGGACACCAGAAAAATTATGATGATGGGAGAAAGATGGGTCTGGGTAGCCGATCAGTTCACCGGATGGCAAACACTTGAGGCGATGAATGTGGACATTGATTTCACCAACTTGCACCAAACGAAATAAACCGATCGAAGGTATGGCATCAGCGTTGTCAGACGGGTTGGAAAAAGATGACAACGAGGGATCGCCAAGGGGACTGAGGTCGACAAATTGCAAACACAGAGTGGCTGAAATTAGAAGAGGTAAGCTGAAAGTTGGTGATCCACAGAGGACGATGTAAACACAGAAGAAGTTCAACACGGAACAACGAACTGCAAATCGTAAAGCCGTTGATGCGAGGCAGTTTATAGTCTCAAAACACACCTCAACCAGAGGTCGATTTGTCGAAAGTGTGGCCAAACGAGGTAGACCCAACCAACCTGGCACTGCGACACAAACTTTGAGGAGCTGGTTATCGCTCGTGCTAGGGGCTGGAATCAAGAATAAATGCGCTGGAAGTGCTTTCAAAACTCCAATGCGGACCAGATGAAGCAAGTACAAGCGTGAGGCTGTAACATCAATCCGAATCAAATGTGCCAACTCGGGAAAGCAGCGACATCCATTCAACTGCAGTAGAATGCGATCCCCAAAGCAACTGCCGCACTTTCGTTTCATTGAAGCAAATTTCTAGTGACCCACTCTGTGCGGATAGATGGTGTCATTGAGATCGGTGTAGCGCTCGTCGGTATCCCACGATTCCGTTTGAGGGAGGCTTGTGTGGCAAGCCATGGCAGGGATGGAAATAACCGGATTACCTTGACCTCCTCGTGGACCAGCAAGTGTTGAAAACGCCGATTGCCACCAGGGACTACGTCATCCGGGTCAAGGAAGACACGACTGTACAATGTACTCAAGCGGTCCAGAATACAGCGAAAATAGAGCGACGCGCAAACTTCAAGGAACAGGACTTGGACCTCTTCGTTATTATGGCGTACGAATTCAAGTTCGTGACAACCGTAATGGTTATATAAGTACTTCATCTCCTTCGTACAAAATGTATACTCATGCACCGTTTATTCGTATTTTACCTACGTATAATCTCGTTGGTATATAGGACAATCAACGACCAACATTCTTCGTACACTGTCAACAAAAACAATAATTTTTTGGATCAATATTCTTGCCTGCGTACCAAGAGCTTGTTCAAAATGTACTCACAAAGCGGATATAAGTGTGCAGCGTCAAGACGCACAACACATAACTGAATATCCTAAAAACCGACTCACAGTTCTGTATCCGCGCTTTCAGTGCTCTGCATCGGACCTGACCGACTGCAGAAAGAGCTGTCCTGGTCGTATTTTCCTCGTGTTCTCGTCAGGCTAGTTTGCCTCGGTCCTTACATTGTTAAAGTCCTTGTATCCAATAAATATGTGGGTAATTTTACTCACATTAGTGATTTGGAGTTACTTCATCTTAAAAGCATGCACTAGTTTATCATATTTTCTGTGATTCAACCTTACTCTGACTTAGTCGTATCGATCCGTACCTAATTTTGGAATGGCAAAGCAAACACCTTGTGGCAATTGCTCCAAAGTCGTTGGACATCTCGCAAATGCAATTACCAGCAGTTTATGCAGCATAAAGTTTCATTTTTCGAATATTGGCATGTCTGTGAACCCATTTTGCGTGATTCAAAGCATTCAGTATGACTTTTTGAAAACCATTTGTAAGCAACGCCAGTCTAAGCTTGGGCAGAAAAGAGCCGAAAAGCCTGACAAGCGAAGCAGTAGAGCCAAGTGCGCTGAAACAAGCAGTTCGATTTATCCGGCATTACAATCAGAGAAACAACCAACGCGTAGTACGGTGGCGAATATATCCCTGGAGCAAAGTGCTAGCGCTCCGGCAGCTCAGCCTCAATGCCTACGATTATTTTCATTTGACACTAATGCTCTAATTTGCAATAAGCAAATTGGTGATAACGAATGGAAAGTGCAAATACTTAAGAAACCAAGAAAAATGCCCAGCGATCTGAGACGCCGTAGCCTCATGATCTTCCACGCATCCGGACCCTGTGAATCCAAGTCTCTGGTGCGCTGTGAACATAAAGTCGAGTATTTTGCAAACGTGTTGACAGACTGCTCGAGGTGTATGAGGGCGGCTCGAAGTGCAACAGATCGCTTTTCTCGGAAAGGGAACCGAGGGTAAAAGTCGACCTAGGAGCGTGACTTTTATTGAAGGAACAAGCCCTAAGTTAATATTATCCTGCATTTATTGGCTGAAATGTCTAAATATCCACGTGCGTGCTGACTAAGGCCCAGCAGACGAAGAGAAACTCAAGTACTCGAGGATTGAACTAAAGCAACGCACGGGACAATGAAGAAACAAATCACCGTATTTTAAATGTTCATTTAGTCAACCGGATTTCCCGCGAATCCGGATCAACAGATTTCTGATTCTACAGGCGCGCCCAGTGGTTCCTAACGCGGCCTGTGCGTAGCGTGTACTTACGTCTGCAGTGTGATGAACAAACACGTTGCGCTATGCTACCTTGTGACCTCTCAGTGGCCGGACATATTGGTCCCCGCTGAAACATGTTTAAACTACGATGTAACCGCTCAAGAAGTGGAAATCGGTGGCTACTCGTACTTTCGCTGTGATAGGCCATCAAATGATCACGGTGGGTTTCTGATTTACATAAGACCACCCTTGTGTAGAAGACTAGTGAGCACCTACGGAAGCCTTGATGGTCTACGTGAGCAGTTATGGTGTTCGATCCACCTCGGTCTCTGCGAGATACTTGTAGACGTGGTATATCGCAGTCCACTGAGCCGCTGCTTGGACAGGTTGCCGCATATTCGCAGCCACATGTGTCCTCCGCTGCTCCTACGTATGGGCGATTTCATCTTACCCTGAACACAGTGTCCCGAGGCTGAACTTTTCCGCAGCTATTGTGTTGTCGAGAGGAAGTTTGCGACATTGATATTTGGAACGGGTCACACGGCACATCAACCAATTTACACACATAACCGCGTGCGCAGCTCCATTTGCTTAGACCAGCTTTTGACCAGCTCTGGACTGTGTGTGGATGCCATTCAGGTATTGGAGCCCCTGGAAGCGAGTGACTACTCGCATCCAGCTGTACCCACGGACGCCGCGGAATTTTCTGCTACCACGCGCTGGATCCTGCTTTTGCTCTGGAATTACTGTATTTTACGTGTGTTGCTGTGTTAGTTGTGCACCAAACTTTTTAGTTTCGTGTGTTCATCAATCCGTGAAAGTTTCGTGGAATTCCGCTTGATATCTTCGGAGATTTCAGTGATTTACTGCTGTGCCCGTCATTTTGGAATTTGTGATCGACATCTTGCTTGTCCTCGTGCTTGAAAAAATGCAACAACTATGCCGAATATCATGCAACGACGTATCTGCTCTTCAGCTAATTGCGGCAAAGCCCTTAAAATGGGTATAACGTGCCGAAACTGCAGTGGCTCGTTCCACCCGAGCTGTATAGGAAAGTCCGCCCAAGAAGCAAGGCAAATAAACAAGGTTACTGACGCATTTTGGTTTTGTCCAACTTGCCAGTTAACTCCAGTGATCGGTTGTTTATGTGCACTCATGGAAAGGTGCGATACTTTCAATGCGACAATTGCTTATTTGTTGAACGCCAGGCTTGCACCACCGGCCGCGAATATGGCCATGATTGTACCACAGTCGGTCAAAGAAAGCTCCACCTCGAGGCCGAAAAAAAGGGCTAGACGCTCAAGTCGTGCTGCAGCCTCAGTTTCTCCAAATCCCCTGCCTCACTCAACTCCAAAAAGCGGACGAACATCCAGAGTACTGATGTCCACACCTTTGAGTCACACGCCCCACCTCCATTCAACAGCAACCGCGGAAGCTCCGGGGCAAACCTCTTCCGCCGTAGAGAAAAGTCGGGCGTCGTACGCCTCAGTCGCCTCAATGCATACACCGGCTAAATTACCTCCGACTCCGGTGGCCTCACCAAGCAACAGTAAGTTGACCAGACTCCAACAACCAAACAATCCCTTTAACACCGTGTCTTTAAGTCATGGCAAATCTGCATCCAACGCAAGGAGCCAAGGCGCGTTAACCGTTGTGTGTACAAATGTTCCTGAATCACAGGCGAGTACAATAAAGGGGAAGCTGTTGGATGATCGTAATCAGTGGAAGTCTATATGTACTGCGATTGGCATTTCGGTGGAACCTACAATGCTGAGACGAGTCACACGTCATCCAAATTCAGCGCACTACGGTGAACCCCGACTTCTCCGGGTGACACTAAACTCCATCAAGGACACAGAGGCAGTACTACTATCGTCCAACAGGCTTTGTCATTCATCACTCGAGGCGCGTATACTTCCTGATATCCCATGGAACGAACGTCCGAAAAAGATGAGCAACCGTGAAGAAGTTCGTAAAGCCGAGGCGAAACGGACGATAATTGTGTACGGGGTTCCTGAGCTCCAAAATTAAACCTCTGATGCAGCGGATGCACATGACCGGGAGCAATGGAGTTACATCCACCACGAAATCTCCCTCAATAATACCATCGCTAAGCGGTTGACCAGGATTCCATTTTCACCGAACTACAAAGGTCCCAGACTTATGAAGGTGGTGCTTCAATCTGAGTTTATGTTACCGCTCGCCTTGGAAAACTGGTCCAAATTCCGCATGAAGCTGCCAGCGGAAATTCGGTTAAAGGCATCAGGTACGCTGCCACGGATTACCAACGACTCACGGGGAGCGATCAAATTGTTGAACCATCCACTCATGCAACTTTGTGAAGGCATGGATTTATCGACAACCGCAATATCCCACGAAACACGGCTGAACACGGGGGACCAGCAGGGCCCGGAAGGCCGCGATCAGTCGTCTAACCGAAAGCAAACTCAAAGGCAAACTTCACCACACAAAAAAGGTTAATGGCCGACCCGTTAACGGTCGGCACAAACTCCATTTCTACCACAACCGGTGCTAGCTCACTCTTGGTTACAAAAGCACTATCCTGCATGTATACTAATACACAAGGCCTCATAAGTAAGTTGGTAGAACTCCGTCACCGTTTGGCTTCGGAGCCTCGAGACATCATAATGATCACCGAAACCTGGCTGAGCGGCGAAATCACAGACGCTGAGATTGCCATACCGGGTATGTCACTTCTCCGGAACGACAGAACGGGCAAGGGCGGTGGCGTGCTCATTTATTTCCGAACGAACCTTCGTTGTGAGCTCATAGACGATCCCCAGACTTGTGTCACCGACGTCCTTTGGTGCAAACTGTGGTTGGAACGCAACGACGTATGCCTTCTCTCTGTGGTTTACCGACCACCGAAATCCACTCCGGAAAGGGACAACAGACTTATCTCCGCTTTTCGCTCCGTGCTTAATCAGGAGTACAGCCACATCCTCGTTGCAGGAGATTTCAACACCCATGACTTGGAAAATCCAGCATCCGAGACAGAGGTGTTCAAAGCATATTTGCAAGAGCTACTCTCTAGCACCTTCCTGTATAACCACGTCACCGTTCCAACCAGGTTCAGAACAGGAAACAACCCATCGATATTAGATCTAGTGCTCACTAACGAAGAGCTCATGGTCGATGGACTAAAGGTGTGCAGTCCTTTGGGCCGTAGCGATCACGTGACTTTGCAGTTCGAGTAC